CTGAAGGTTAGCGGCGACGCATATTTATTTAATTTTGAGGAAAACCAGACTCGAGCGCCAATATATAAATATTGTTCAGGATTCTACTGAAAAATACCTTTCCGATGGTATACTTGAGTGACTCCAGGGCGAGGAGTCACTCAAGTAAACAATTACCGAAACTTTACCAGCCATGCCCCTGTTGTGTATACATTCATTGCTTACGTCGTAAGTGAAGCGTATACGCATACATGTTACGTATGCTCTCCCATATCGAATGTACACGTTGCATGTACGGAGTTACGACCACGGCATACGTTTGTCTGCATGCGGCACACATGCGGCTGCGTTGCGTACACGTTGCGTAAACGTTGCATACACGCTGTGTACACATACAGGTCTCTAAGGCCCATACTTGTTTCATAAGTGTCCACATATAATGCATATACAATTCGTATGGTGAATCAACTCGGCCACATATATTGGGAACGTGTACTAACTGATATTCGTATTCGTATTCGGAGTGTATACGGAGTGTACACGGGGCAGTTTTCACGGGGATGTTTTTCTTTTCTATTGACAAGAGGAATCCAAAAACAGTCAGCTTTTCAATTCTAGTCAGTTACTGTCCTGCGTATAACCTCGGCTGCCCTTGTAGGTGTCAAATCTATGCACAAATTCGTTGCACACAGAAACCGTGCGAGGCGTGCACGCGTGGTGCGGAGGATCCATTTTATCACGGGAAGGTATGCAAAGGAAGTTGGAGAGGTTTTGAGAGCGACAAACCCGTCGCTTAGCTGTTTCGAAAGGCGTGCGGGGTAGAACGTGGCTCACAATCACACTCCAGAAGTCTAACCAGCAGGAATCCAAAATGTCTTGATTGTTAGCTGAAAACAATGACTGTGGCGTCCGAGACACGCTGATACAGTAGGCGCTCGCTATAGTTCCGCCTCGGGTTCAGAATTGGAGTGGGTGAGTGGGGTCGCCAGAGGCGGAACTATAGCGAGCGTCTTCCCCCACTCCTTCTCTACCGCTCTCGCTCACACTGGTGGCCGGCTGGCAGCCCGGGGGGAAGGTGGTGGGGAGGAGGAAGAGAGGGAGGCCGCTTCTCGCTTGGAGTGGGGGAACCAGGCCTGGCGGGGAGGGAGCGCCGGCGGAACTATAGAGAGCGGAACTATAGCGAGCCCTCACTGTACTTCGTGCGCTCCGGGTTTGGGCACACCAGGAGGGAGCGCCACCAGCGGGATCGCCACTGTGCTGCGACAGCAGCGCCACCGGAGTTTTCTTTAAACTTGTATTTCTTTTGAGAGTCAGTTCGTGTTATCCCTTTGAGGAATAAACTTGTTACTTATTGTGCTACATCGTGTGTACTCACTCCCGTCACCTCAATGACCATATAGTGGGGCTGCAAACGTTCATTTCGAGTATCTTTAATTGTTAAGGACATGCCGCTTGGAACTGACAAGTGCAATATAGGTAATATAAGCCGAGGCGGGCAGGAAGCGCACTTGGCCATCGCACCGCCCGCCGCCCCGTACGAAAAAGTTTAGTCCGGCATCAGTCCGTTTTCGGTCCGCAAAGAGTCCGGCTGGACAGTCCGGCATCAGTCCGCAAAAGCGAGCGGACTAGTCCGCGAAAAAAGCCAGATCGACCAAAAACCGACCTATTTGCCGGACTAGTCCGGCTGGAACTAGTCCGCTTTTGGTGCGCATACCCAGAGCAGACTGAAAGCGGACTACCTGAAGCACAACTGACCACTACCGTGCCAAAATTGATTGGGAAAAGTGCAAAGTTTAATGTTTATTATGGCTAAATAGAGTAAAATATCAGGTCAGGGTAAATCGAACAGTGGTCTTAGAGTGTTAGAAACGAGGCGAAGCCAAATCCGCTGTCTGTTTTGACCTAGCTCAAGCCGTTTACGAGTTAGCAGAAAAATTTGCTTCGATTTCAATGATATTAAAATGGCCCTACTAAAATAGGGTGTAGATGTCCCAAATAAAATTTGAGGTCAAAATTCCTATAACTTCCAAAGTTACAGCATGGTAAACTTGTATCGGGATTCGCTCCGGACAATTCTTTCTTTTTAACAGTGCTGTGCTCTGCTCCCGGGCGGACTGAAAACGACCTGGTCCGCTGCGGTAGGTACTCAGGACGGACTGGTCCGCCAGTAGTCCGCCGTTGGAGGACTGATAGCGACCTAGTCCGTCATGGGGCGGACTGAAAGCGACCTAGTCCGGTGAGGGCGGACTGTCCGCGGACTGGTCCGCCGAGGACGGACTGTCTGCGTACTGGTCCGGCATCGCACTTGGCCGCTGCGACCTCAAAGCGGACTAGTCTGCACGCCCGGGGGTACTAAAAGCGGACTAGTCCGGTGCACGACGGATCGAACGCGGACCAGTCCACAGGGGTGCGGACTCTTTCCGGACCGAAAACGGACTGATGCCGGACCAAACTTTTTCGTACGGGGCCGAACGGTCCACAGCGCGCTGGCTGCACAGCAAACCTCGGTTTGTTTGGATCGCGTTGCTAGGCGACACGCCGCTGGGGTGGGGGGACCGTGGGAACCTCGGTGGGAACACTAAAAAGGTCTATAATTGTGCGATACGTGAAAGTAATATCACATGAGAGTCCAACAATTCACAGGGTATCATACTGACCAGCGAGTATCTCCTTCTCTTCGGCAGTGAACGATGGAAGGCGCGGTTGCGTGAGGCCTTTCTCGGCGTCGCGCTTTTCAACAAGGTACCGCAACACAGGCGGATAGTCACCAAAAACAAGTGGGTGGAGAAGTGCACCGGAAAAAACCTGATTGAATGTTTCTGCTGCCATCACATCTTCAGACTGCGTTGTCTTTGGTGTTGCTGGCCACATCAACACAGATGTGCCCAGTTTCCCTGTCGGTGCAGGAGGTCTACATTAGTATTGCATACAGTAACCCAAGAGGGTTAGAAAGGGCCCGCACTGTTGAGAGGGTCAGTATATTGCCCGGCCGACAGACAGGGAACGATGAACTGTTGGTTCCCTACAAACATAACAATTTATAGCATTTTTTATTTTTTTTATTTTTTAAGGCGGCTAGCGGAAAGAGGGGGGTTGGGGGAAGGGCGGTCATTCTAATTTAAGGTTGTACATCTTTGGGAGGTAATGGTCTCAAAAGGAAGTGAATGTGAGCAGTTCTCCGCGAATGGGTCACTTTCGTGTCCACGCTCATTTCATCGAAAGCTTAACCGATCTGAACGATTTTTTCCTATCTCTGCGTCTTCAAACTAATTAAACACTAGCTACATGTACGCCAGACCACGTCTAACAGGCTTCGCGATATCTCACGAAACACTGTTGCGCTGCGACGCGCCTGGCGCACATATAGCTAGGCCTGCGGCGCTGACACCCGAGACGGGGTAATAGGAGTGTAAATACAAGTTTTCGAAATGAAGTCTTTTTGTTAACGATTAAATCGACCATTTGATCATTTTCTCCTCATTTTTGTCAAGAAATGCCCCCTAGCACCTAAACGGTACAAGATAGAGCCAAACGGACGAAATTTTCTCTCAAAGGACTCTACTTTGACGGTTCACCCCTTCGGAACGCATAAAAAAATATTTGTTAAAAATACATTTTGCGACCTGTAGTTTTTAATTTTTTTAAAAGCCAATTTTTGAGCTAGAATGCTCACCTTCGAACTCGATCTGTCTTTTTATGATACAAAATTCCCAGATCGCTCTCTCAATTCATTCTCGAGTTATCTTGCGGACAGACATACAAGCAGACAAACAAACAAACAGACAAACAGAATGAAATTTTTCCGGTCAGTGGAGTAATGGGCTTCGCTAATCGCTCAGCCAACAAAACAAATGTTACTTCGACATTAGAGTCATCCCCTCAAAAGATATTTGAACGGAAAGGGTCGAAAATGTAAGATCCGTAACCATTTTGCATGTCCACAACTCCCGATTTCGAACATAAACTTCTCTGTACGCCGAAAGGGGACATGAAAACTGATTTCCGCAGGTGGTCTCGTGTTCTACACACATGAGGCTATGTTCTCACACTTGGCCCGTCTCCAGAAAGTCACAGATGTCTTTACACGACTGGCTCAAAAAATATCCTCCATGGAAAGGTAACAAAGGTCATGACGCCAGTTTTTGCCACTTTTCTACAGCAAAACTTAACATACGACAACCACGAAACTTCCTATAGATAGAGTTATGTGTCCTCCACTAGACAACACATCAAACGCAGGTGAGGCTCGTCTGGTTCGCTGCCTACACTGACTAGAACACCTAAAAACTGTTAGTGTCAAGCATAGAGTGTAAGATCCGTGCACTCTTTTGCGAAGTTTCTATTGCGAATTTCGATGAGGTTCAAACGGGGTTGTGTCCGTGTTGTCAGCCTGACCCAAAATACGTCTCGCCCTTGCCGATCGGTCCTCGTTCGTCTTATAGGTCCGATTTTATACGAATTTGTAAGATCCGTAACCAGTAAGATTCGTAACCATTATAAGGATTCCTTATGGGGTTTATAGGGTAATTTTGTAACTTCTGAGTGGGAGCTGGGATCTTCGAAATCTTGTATCTAGGGGCAGTAGTCAGCAACATACCATAAGAAAAACTCGATAAAACAGAATTTTTTTTTTGACGTACAGATGTCAAAAGTGACCCATTCGCAGTGAACTGCTCATGTGTAGCAACGACGTCGTGCAAGGTTTCGGCTCTCCACCACGACGTTTAGGTCGTGAAGGGGCTTGAATATTTGTCGTTCCGTAGAGGTGTGCGAACTGAGGTTTTTCAAAGTCGAATCGAATCGAATCGAATCTTCTTTAAAATAACTCGAATCGAATCGAATCGAATCTCATTTTTTTACCTCGAATCGAATCGAATCTCATTTTTTTACCTCGAATCGAATCGAATCGAATCTGTTTGATTCGAATTCGACTCGAATCGAATCGGCAATTTTAGTATTTATGAAACGTTTAGAGTGTTTATGTATATGGATTAAGTCTAAAACGGTTAATAAATCAGGTTTAATTTTCCTCTTTCAAATTCTAATGCCTTTTGAACAGTCTCAGGTGGAATTGGAGGAGGAAAATATGTTTTATACAAATAAACTGCCAGAATACTGCCGCGCCGGTTCGATTTCGAACTCGACACTTAAATTTCCTCGAATCGATTCGCATTCGAATCACTTCAATTCGTAATCGAATCGAATCGAATCTACCCAGATTCGATTCGATTCGATTCGAATTCGAACTGTTCGCACACCTCTATCGTTCCGGTGCCAAAACTTGAGCTGCCGTGTTCGAGGCTTTAACACGAGTTGTTGTCGAGGCTGGTAATAAGAGTGAGTCTGCGTGACGTGAGTACCTCAGAAGAGAAGGGCGTCCTAGAGTACTAACAGTGCTCGTTATCCTGAGCAGAGAACCCGGCCAGGCACACACCGATACTTGGGCACACAGGCCAAAGCCAAAACCGAAGTGACGATTTATTTCCCATAAAAATCAAGTATTTTAAAAAACATAAAATAATAGGGGGGACCTTGTAGTGAGGGGACCTACCAGAATTTACCCCCTTGCTGCCTGAATATAAAAAAAAACCACCTGTTTTGTATAAATTTTGCCTTTATTCTTATTGTTTCCCCCTCTTTCCCTTTCTTCGCCTTCTTCCTCCTCTCCCTTCTCTTCCCCTCCTTTCTTCTTTCCTCTCCTTTACTTTTCTTCTCCATTTTTAGCCCTCCCTTCTGCTTTGAAAAAGCTATCCAGCGGGTTTATGCAAACGACCTCGTGTGTGTCTGTCTGTGTGTCTGTCGGTCTGTTCCACAAGAGCACATGTGCTAGAGACTTCAAATTTTCAGGGGATCTCATGGTTCAATCCCACAAAACAAAACGCCTACAGCAAATCCTGCCAACAACCCCTAAGGGGCTGAAAGGGGGTATCGAAGAAAACAGCGAAGGCCAAAAAAGTTAGAAAAAATATTGTTTTTATGATCTTCGAAGGGTAAACCCGTGAAAGTAGAGTGCCATGGGATAAATTTCATCCGGTTTGCTCTATCTCTCACTGTTTAGGCGCTAGAGGGAGTTTCTCTCACGAAAGTGGTCCAAAAATAAATACAGTAATTTTAGAAAACATTGGATGACTCCGAAGGGGTAACTTGAAACAGTAGAGCCGTTTGCGCGAAAATTTCACAAACATGTTGCCTCAACAAAACTATTCCTTTATATTTGGAGTGTTTCAGAAAAACATCGATGAGCCAAACCCGCGGTGGGTTTCTATTTTTTTTAAAGAACTAGTAAACAGCAAGGCGTGATCTGGCGTTAATGCTACCTCCTAATTATTGAAAGTCACAAGTAATTCATCACATATAAATATTTATACGTACCTTTTTGTTTTTCTTTATATTTTTTCGTGTAAAGTTGGTAAGTCTTCATATGTGCTATAATTATATTGTGCATGCAGTGGTAAATTTTGTCGTCTTCATTAGGACGAGCACCAACCAAGTACATGATGGTGGGAAAATAATTGCAGTACATGTTGGGCTCATTAACGGTGTTCCAGTATTTAACCTGAAAAATATCAATTAAATACCTGTCAGAAATGCTGAGCCTTTGAAGGCACTCCAAAAATTGTGGGTTTTTGAAAAATGTGGTGCCTTTTAGAAAAGCTTTAAAATTAAGAAATAGTAACGAACACAAAGTTCTGCCTTCATTTTACCAGTGCAGTACTCTAATAATCGAACAACGGGACAGCCCTACAACAGTAAAACCAAAAGTAAGAACTGTCGCACCGTGGACACCATAGGAATCATGGTACCATCTTTATCTGCCCAAATGATAGGAATACTGGAACTGTACAGCCGTTAGTCAAACTATTATTACACTGGTAAAACAAGTGTGAAAAATTTGAACACTGACGTGTTTAAATTATGATTTTAAACATTACATGATGTTTAGCTCAAGTTGCACTTTTGCGTGGCGTGCACATTTTAAACGTTTTGTAACCGTTTAGATTCTGCACCCTTGGACACACACAAATCTGAAGGAACCACATGGCGTGCAGCTGCTATACTTTTCGGAAGTGTTAAAAGTTTAAACACCAATTGACTGTAATCCTAGTTGAACACGACACTGTGTTGAGAGAATGCACACTTGGTGTTAAACACCAATTGGCGTTTAACATTCAAGACTTGAATTACTAGTGTAGAGTACTCTTGCATTCTCAAAGAGTCATCTGCAGTAGTAAAATAAGTGTAAATACAAACGCATTTCAATTTTCGCTCATGGTGCCTTTCATGCTCTTACGCACCTTGTCTCCAAACGTTTCAAACAAGAAGTCCGCATATTCGACGTATTTCTCAATCATGTCAGAATTGCTCCAGCCTCCAGTAGCATTTTCCAACGATATCGGCTGGTCGAAATGAAGCATTGTGACCTGCATACCAAAACACGGTAATGTGAAATGTGAAACTGTTTAAAGCTAGACTAAAGAAATGGTTGCTTGAAAAAGAATTCTATTCACTAGAGGAATTTAGACACTGTGGCACTTAAGGCTGGTGGACTTTTGTTAATTTGTTGCAAGTATTGTTAGTGATCTGTATCTTGTGTAATCCTTCATTTACTGTGTTAGTTTTTAACTTTTAAGTTTGACCTCAGTTGAGAGGGTTTCTTTTGTAAGCTCTGTACACTCTATGTAATAACAGAAATATACCAATACCAATAATGCGCATGCGCGAGACCTTAGCAGCGGTCCAAATTTGAAGCGTATAGCTGTTACTTTGAGAAAATAGAACCAAATGAAAGTAGCGGCTATAGCGAATGAAAAACACTGCGAGCTAAGCGAGCGCGAAAATATTTTGATTGGGGCGCCAAAATCCCCACGGAGGGTAAGGGCAGGGTGCATTATGGCACCCCCCCTGTTCCTACGACCCTGGTCGAAGCGGCTGGCCACTACCCCGAGCCCTGCCGAATGACTGCGGCGTGGTGAAGAGCGTGGCATTGAGGCGGAAAGACGAGACGGATCGAGATGAAACCTGTCACTTTTCGAGTCCATACATTTAACTATATCTCCTTTCTAACGCTGCTTTCAGATTTTAAATGGGCAGAAACGCTTGCGCTCGGGCTAAAATGAGCCACACATCTGGCTGTGCACGTAAAAGCGCACCAGCCGTTTTCTCTTCATCCTCTCATACTCTTATTTCAAACTAGGCTAAAACTAGTGCTTTCAAAATTGTGGTTTAGTGTTGGTTACCGATTGATCACTGGGAAAATAATTAAATATGGTTCTTAAATATTATAAAAGAAAGCCCACTCTGTCAATTCAAATGCGTATACATTGTATACTTTAAATAAAGCGTCCACAGCATGTAAAGTTTAACAAATGTACTCATGCCTATGTACGGTTTTATAAATGTATACACACCCCTGCACGTATTGATGTACACGCATTTATAAATGCCTACATGGCCATGTACGCATTTATAAAGGCGTGCATGCCATGTATGCATTTTTTAAAGTATACATGCCATGTGCGCTTTATTTAAGGTGTACAATTTGAGTTGACAGAGCAGAAAACTTATCCTGCTCAAATACATCACTCCACAGTAAAAACAATGTGAAATAGATGCGAACAGTTGATGAAATGTTGCACATACCCTTCCTACCGCTTCCTACTACTTCTTTAATACAAGTAATTCAAAATGTTGTATTTAAGACTCACCATTGGCTCCATACCGTTGTTAATTACTTCTTCAATGTAATCCTTGTAAAACTGAACACCCTGCTCATTGATATTATCTACTCCGCCAGTTGGAAGGACACGAGACCAGGATATTGAAAACCGATGTGAAGTAAACTGCAAAAAAAAAAAAAATCCACACTGTAAAAATATCCAGGATAATTTTGTTCACCTATGTGTGGACAAATGTCTCCCTCTGGTATGTAATTCAAATTTACCCACCCACCTCGTAATGTGTACATTTCTTATAATGTGGAGGGACAAAATTATTACTTGGACTGTAAATTACCCGAGGGGTACACCACTGTTAAAAGTAGGTGTACGCGATTAAAAAAGTCAAGATAAAGTCAAAAAGTCATCTGAAAAGTCAAAAAAAGTCAAAAAAGTCAAATAAAAAGTCGAAAAAGTCAAATAAAGTCAAAAAAGTCAAATAAAGTAAAAAAAAGTCAAAAAAAGGCAAATAAAGTAAAAAAAAAGTCAAAAAAAGGCAAAAAAGGCAAATAAAGTAAAAAAAGTAAAATAAAGTCAACGAAACGTCGGCGAGAAGTCAGAGAAAAGACACTCAAAAAGTCAACAAAAAGTTGACATGCAAGTGCAATATCTGCCTGTAAGAGGGAAACAAGCTGGGCCCGCTCTTCCGCCAAACCAAGTTGCCAGCTCCGCTTCGCTCCACCGGCAACTCGGTTCGGCAGGGAGCGGGCCCAGCCTGGCCTGTCGGCGGCGTTTGGGACGGGCCTTCGGCCTTCGGCCCGTCCCTTCTGAATTTTTATGGTGTAATACATCTTCTATCCGAAAACGGGCCTTCGGCCCGTTTGAGTGACGGCTCGCTTCGAACCATCTTCTTGCCAGGTACATTTTCTGTCTACTTCGTAAGTAAAACTCAACAAACGAAGTATTCTTTTCATACGCTGAACATCTTTGGCTGTGTGTGCCACAGTTTGTCGAATACATGCAAGTTATGCCGAAATTTAAGTTATTGATGTTAGCTTATGAATCCAATAACACACCTATGAAAATGTACATAAGACTAGACCTAGAAGTTAAATATACTTCCATTCATACTCTGAATGACACCGAACGTGTTCAAACAACAAAAAACTAAATGTGTTTTTTTGTGGTTTTTTGCATTAAAGTGTACACGTTTTATTAATGATGTGCCACCATAAAATAAGCCCACTCTTCTGCTTAGAAGAAAAATTTGAACCGGCCGCATACTTCTCAGACAGAAGTGTACTTCTGAAAAAATAAAAATATTTCTGTTTTGGCCATTTTGGTGAGAGAAACTCCCTCTATCGCCTAAACGGTGAAAGATAGAGCCAAACGGACGAAATTTTAACCCACAGAACTCTATTTTCAGAAGTTACCCCATAGGAAACCATCAAATATTTTCTAAGCTTAATATATTGTTTTTGGGCCACTTTTGTCAGAAAAACTCCCTCTAGCGCCTAAACGGTGAGAGATAGAGCCAAACGGACGAAATTGTAGCCCTTAGAGTTCTACTTTCACGAGTTACCCCTTAGGAGATAACAAAAAAAAATATTTTTTTTCGACTTCTTGGACCAACCCCTATTTCCTTGTTACCCCCTCAGACCCACTCAGGGGTGGTTGCCAGGATTTGCACCAACCGTTTCGTTGTCCAGAAGTGACAAAAATAATACCCTGAAAATTTCAGACCTCTAGCTCCCGTGTTTCTTGGGGAACGGACAGACGGACAGACAGACACAGAGGCGATGGCATAAGCCCGCTTATATAGCTTTTAAGCAAAAGAGCGGGCTAAAAAGCTACGAAACTGTGATTGTATCGGGAAGTCCTAGATCACTGTCTTTTAGAGAGGGAGAGGGTGGGTGGTGGGTGAAGTGAGAAAAACAAAATTACTGGAGGAAACTGGAATACATACAGACAAGTGCAGTATACCAAACGATAGGGTTCTACCCAGTAATGACCCAGTCCTAAAATCCCATGCGCTACATGGAATTCCATGAACACAATTCCATGGCAGAAGGACCATTTTCCATGTGTGGCTGCTCACTTTCCATGTGGAGCCTCTTTTCTATGAGGAAGTCCCATGGAGATTTATGTCACCATGGGGTCGGAACTAGCTTTCCATGGGACGTATCATGGAAATAGTGTATCTGCTACCATGGTGTGTCTTTCACCATGGTGTTGGTCTTAACTCCATGGAGAATCAAACTCCCATGAAAGTTAAGAAAGTTGTAAAATCTGTGTTTAATTGAATATCGGTCTAAAATTTGGTGGCTAGCACCTCGGTCAAATTTTGATCTCAAACAAATTTGAGCACTTTTTCCTGCTATCTCGTAAACGGCCGTAGCTACGTTTAAACAGACAGCGGATTCGGCTCCGCCTCAGTTCTGACCACCCGGAAACATGCTTCGTAATCATCTGTAAGACTGACTTTGACTTAGGCAACCGACTCTGTTTTTTGCTTTACCCTGGTAAAGTTGTCCATGGGCTTAGTATTGTTCCATGGAGACCAACACCATGGAGTTTCAATACATGCCCATTGAAAACACCCATGAAAAAGCGGCAAAAAATACATGGAAAGTCCTCCCTTGGACAGTTGATGTTCCATGACGTTCCATGACAACCCATGGGTCATGTAAAGGACCATGGGATTTTGGGACTGGGGATGCCGTAATAGAGGGGTTTTTTTCCCACTTTGATAGCAAATTTTAGAGAAAACTCGATTTATAATTTCTGTCCGCGTCGCGAAAAGTTCAAAACTGTGGTGGCAAATGGGGGATTTTGAAATGTCAATAACTCATTGCTCCGGGTGTAATTCAACGAAAACTGATGACCACCATAAATGTGCCATGGCCGCCGTGCATGGTTGCCACAAAATTTTTATTTCCATGTTCCCTGAGTTTTCCCTGATTTCCAGACCATTTCTCGCCGAATTTCCCTGAGTTTTAAGCACCATTCCTGGTGAAGTACTGGGGCAAACTAATACCCGTAACGGTTAAACAGAGACCGAGAGCGAAGCGAGCGCGAAAACTTTTGGGACAAAACACCCTACTGGGACGTCAAAATGTGTAGTTGACCTAAACGGCGAATTGACTGTAGTTTGGGGACCAGTCAGACCAAATTTCCCTGACTATTTTTCATTTTCCCTGAGTTTTCCCTGATTTTCCTGACAGTTATTTATTTTCCTGAGTTTTCCAGGGTTTCAATGTTTTCCAGAGTTGAGGCAACCATGCCGTGCCTTTCACCACTCGAAATTCATTCTCTTTATATTGTTTCTGAATCGGTTCACTTTGGACTTAATAGTCTTGGCGCTGGTGAGGGCGTTGTGCCCATGCGCAAACTTGTAATGCACTTAAATACAAGAAATTGGGTTTATTCAGTGTGTTTGTACGACGTCAACACTTTTAATTATCATAAGCAATCATTTTGAGTTTGTTTGAAACGTGGGGAAGTCGCTGTTTTCCGTAAAATGACAAATGAAATTGGAAGTTATATTGGCCTTTCACCAACTTTGTCAAATAAATCAACTCAAGGGGGTCTTCCCTGATAGGGAGCCTTTAAAAGCTCTTTTATCTATCCGGGAAGGTAGTCTGACTGAGGCTATCTGATAATAGGAGTGTAGTTCGAAAAATCGAGTATTTTTGACGTACGGGCATTGGTTTAAGAGAAAAAATACTTTATCGAAATATCTTATACTGAACATAAATAGGATAAGGAAGTGAGATGGATAACATCACATGAGTTCAGAAAAAGGT